CCCGAGAGTAGGGTCGGGCGGTCGGAGGAGAGGGGGCTCACCCGTGGGGCTGGGACAGTAGGGCGGGGAGGGGCTGTGGCTTTGACTCCCGGGGGGAAGGCACGGAGACCCAGAGGTCGGGGCACTTGAGGTCACCAGGCTCCTAGGGCGTGGGGACGAAGGTCTGTCTGGCCCCGCCCTTCTGGTCCTCGGTATCCAGGACTTGGCCAGCTAAGAAGACCTGAGTTACTCGGAATGCCGGCCCAAGGGTTTGGGCGCAAAATTGAAATGGGATGCGGGGAGGTGGTGCGTGCCGGGGCAGTGAGTTTGTGCACGCCCCTGTGCAGAGCTACCACGTGGGCGCTAGCACACAGGTTGCTGTTTTGCCAGCAACTCTGATGAAGGGTGTGCGGAAGGCTTGCACGTTTGAGAAGCGGAGCTCTGGGAAATGAAGGGACTGTTTTACAATTTAAGTTGAAACCCTAATGGGTTCGTTGTTTCCTTCAATTAAGCACTAGCTCCTATTCTGTGCCTGGTACTTTCCTAGATACTTGGGATCTATCAGTCAACAAAATGCCTTCCTTCTGTTAACGTAAAAAAAAAACAATGAAACCTGTAACGAATTTTTGTGAGTTTATTTGAGCCAAACTGTTGACATATGCCGGGAAGCAGAACCTCAACGAATTGAGATAATGCTCCAGAGAATGGCGGGCTACATCTTTATTTATACATTGCAATCAAAGGAAAGGGACATAGGTGGGTTACATGAAATCCATTGGTGAAAGACTTAGAGAGGCGGGAGAAAGCAATGCAGGGTAAAAAGTAAAATGATAGACACATACTTAGGTGGGTGCAGGAACAATTAACATAACAATGAAGGAATTTGTAGTATCTGTCCTGGAGCCCAGGCACATTAGGTTGTGCCCCAAGGGGTCCAGAAAAAGGGAAGTCACAAGTTACCCAGACATTTCAAGGGTATGTTTTATAGATGCAAAAAGACAGATAGGCTCAGTTAAGGTAAAGGTTGACCTTGTCAGTGAAGATACCAGCCTAGGACATAACTACCCACCATAACTGCTTTTAGTTAAAGTTTAATTTCAGACCATCCTTTGTGGTTACTTTAGGTCTCTGAGTTTGCAAGACTGCCATGCAGGCCTCCCCTGAGCTTGTCAGGTTACCATGTGGCCCCTTTTGTCCACACTTCTTGGAGCTTAATTCTAGCAGAGGAGATGATACACACATATGTTTAAATAGATAGATATAGATATAATTTTTGTATACATATACAATTTACATATGCACATATGATATTTATATGTACATAATGGATAAATACTACAGGAAAAAATAGAGGTGGTAAGGGTTAGGAAGTGAGATGGGCCTCCAGTTACAAATTTAATAGCATCATCAGAATAGGTTTCATTGAGAAGGTGGCTAAATACTTGAGGGGGATGAGAGCAGTCACTGTCCTACATGAGATTAAGGAAATCTAAACAGGTTCAATTTACTAGGTTTGGCTGGGGAAGATACTGATTGGTAAAGCAACAAAGTGAACCCAGCTTGACATACAGAGGTTGGCGAATGAGTAGTGAGTGAACTCTGTCAGTGTCCTGCAGTAATTTTGAGTTAGAGACGGCTTTGAACTTTATTTGTGTACTTGGCCTTTTGGTGCTCTTTTTTGACAAGCTGGAAACTTGTGATTTATTTTCCTCTAAAAACTCAAGATTATGGGGCAAAAGGGAGAGTGTTCTTTCTCATCAGCTTTTTGACGAGCAAGGTAGTAATGTTGTTTTAGTCTCAGATTATGTCATTCTTCACAGTGTGGATGGATTAATAAATACTATGGGGAAACACAGCCAAGACAGTTAAGGATCATGTATGCCCACTCACCATCAGTAAATGAGAGTTTTGTTCCTTTGTCTTCAGCCTAATGGTTTGGTGCCGAAGGTTCTAAGTAGGGCTACTTAGACTTAAGGATGTTATGGATAGGAAATTTGTACTTGGTTCCCTCCTCTTGTCAAGGGTAACTTTGGGCTTCTTTTGTGTGTTTTTTAATATCCTTTTGATATACTGAAGGTCCCCCAAAGGAGAATTTCATAGTACACTTTAACATAGCTCGGTTTACTTGCTTCCTGGTTATAAATAGGATTTATAGTTCGTGGGCCCTGTTTTGTTATCACAATAAAAGAGGAAAAGTGAGTCAGAGGTGTTCTGGATGTCTGAGTATTGCTGTTACCCTTTGACAGAAAGCAAACTGGCATTCACCTTCTGTCAGCGGGGGTTGGAGGGCCAGCTGGGAAGTGGCCAGCCCTTTTCTCCACTTCTCAGATGACAGTATTTCTTTGAAATAAGCTTGCAATTGAAATTCCAATACTTTTTTTAAAAAAAAAAATCAGCAGTATCTAAGTTGGAATTGGCTCTTGCTTAGAAAATAGTCATAATGCTTTGTTTTGTTGGGGAAGGGGGGCAGATTATTTTGTTATTAGAAACAAGGAAATTGGGAGTAGACTAATCCCGTCATTCTTCATAAGCCAGCTTCTAGACTCCAATGTTTTCAAGCTCCCTAACCCATTACACCGTCCTGAACAGTTCTATGATGGATGGGGTGGCCTGTGGAGAGCCCCTTGAGAGCTCTCCATTCATTCATTCACCCACACACCCAGTGTTTTTAGAGCTTGGTCTGTTTTGTGTCAGCAGACATTCAGGTTCTCTTCTCATGAGACCAGTTTTTGTCCCAGGACTGTAGATAAAGAATGAAAAAAGAGGTACTCATTTATGTGAAAAAGGAAGACCATAGGCAAAGAGCAACACTTGCTCCTGTGATTTTTGTGAGCATTTAATCAGATGTGCCTCCCTTTGCACGGTATCTGTCACCTAATAATTGGTGACAACCTTATAATTTTTGCCATTGTTACTCTGTCCTCTGAGCATGCTCCCAAACCCTGTCCCCACATGTGGTGGACACTCAGCTGCGTGCATAGACATTATGACTCTGCCCCCTAATCATAAGTGGCTGGGCCCAGCAGGGCCTCTCAGAGGTCGAACGGCTGGCTGTGCCACTAAATGGCAGTGTGACTTTGGGCAAGTGTCTCAGCCTCCCTGAGTCTTATATTTCTTGTTTGGAACTTGAGGGTCATAATAGACCTATATCCCCCATAGGATTGAGCTGAGGATCAAATGAGTTACTGCATGAACAGCATTTAGCACATTGTGGGGCACATGGTAAGTACCTTTAGATATTAACTATTCATATTACTACTGACCCATGTGACTACAAGTTATTTGAGTGCCTATTGTATACCAAGCACTGTGCTTAGTGCTGCAGGTACATAGTAAACAAAATCAGGCACACCCTGACCTTGCAGAACTTAGATCTAGGAGGAGAAGGCAAACAATAAACAAGTAAATATAATATCCAGTAGGAAGCAGTGCAATGAAGAGCATTAAAGCAGGGTGGGGTCTATGATACAGATGATTAAGAAAAGGGGTAACGTCAAGCTGTTCACTGAATGTTTTGGGTTCTCCTTCCCGACCTTTGTGACTTGATTTGGCCAATGAAATATGCATAGAAGGGGCAAGTGTCATTTCTGAGTGGACCTGCAGAGGCACGGTGTGATTCTCCACACCCCTTTAAAAATAGAAAAAAAAGGAACAAAAAAGAGGTACTCCTTTATGTAAAAAGGGAAGACAGACAATAGGTTAAGAGGAGAAAGGAGTTGATCTCAAAATTTCCTTCCAGACCAGTGGTTCTCAACCTTCCTAATGCCGCGACCCTTTAATACAGTTCCTCATGTTGTGGTGACCCCCAGCCATAAAATTATTTTCGTTGCTACTTCATAACTGTAATTTTCCTACTGTTATGAATCGTAATGTAAATATCTGATATGCAGGATGTATTTTCCTTGTTACAAATTGAACATAATTAAAGCATAGTGATTAATCACAAAAACAATATGTGATTATAAATGTGTTTTCCGATGGTCTTAGGCGACCCCTGTGAAAGGGTCGTTCGACCCACAGGTTGAGAACTGCTGTTCTAGACAGTCTCATGATCCAGATCTTAGAAATCATACAATTGAATTTTTGTTTTTAATATGTTGTTGGCCTGCAGTATATGGCAAGGCCCTCTGCTAGATGCTAACAATACAAAAATGACTAAGATTGGCTGCTCTTGGGGTTATGGACTAACATATGATACAGATATGGAAATGATATAACAAGTGCTATGATAGAGCCATCTGTACCAAGCTGAGAACACAGATAAGGGAGCAATAAAGGCTGCTCCCTGACCTGGGTGGGGTTGGCAGAGAGAACTATAAACTGTATAATCATAACCAGAACATAATGAAGACTTAGGAAGTTGTCAAATTAAATGAAGGGGGGTAAAGAAGGTGCTTAAAATTTACCAGTTGAGAAAGGGGAGCAAACCAAGCTTCAGGATGGAATACCAAAGTATGAAAGAAAGTTCAGGAGGCAGAATAGCTTAGGTGGCTAGAAGAAAGCTGAAAAGGTAAGTGGGGGCCAAATTGGCACAGGCTTTGTGTGCTTTGCTAAGGACTTTATAGTATAGTCTGGCTAGTGATTTTTTTGAATGTAAGGGCCCCTTTTAACCATTAAACACAGATAGACAATTGTTGCATTTTATATTTTGTCAGTCTGCAAACTGTGTGCTACAGAGTGATTATTGGATCTCTTGATCTTACTTGATGCTGACTATGACCAGCAACCATACTCATTCCAAGTCACCAGTAAGTTAGGAACCACTCACTGCTCTAGGCTTACAGAGAAGAATCAGATCCGTGGGGTCCTGTCCATGTCATCTTTTTGCTTACTGCAAAGTTTCTGTTAGAGTGTGTAAGGCTGAGAATAGGAGTTGATTAGCTGAAGTATCTTTCTGGTCATTTAGGAGATCTACTGAGAAAACCTTTGAACTTTGAGTTAGTAGATGACTGTTCTCTCTTCTACCACTCTTCTACAACACCTGGCATCATTTGAAAAGTAAGAACAAATATGTAGCAAGATTTACATATCTGTGTTTATTACATTTAAATGGAGGATTTTCATTTTATGTTGTCCATCTCTTTTTTTTTCCTTTGCTATCAAAATGTCTTTTTTAGTATGATTATAGTAGTAAGGAGCTATTACGCTTACATGTCCTTTTTTGGCAAAATTATAAATTGACACTGCAGTTGTTCCATTAAAAAAAAATAAAACTATTATTGTGGTTCATGAAATACAAAAGCCAGGAAGCCATTACTATGCCACCTCCTTTAAATGAGCACCTTGAAATAAGTATACAAAACAGGTTGGATCTGTGGTTAAGTGCACAGAAATTCATAAAAGTGGTAATATACAAATTGTTAGACTTCATCTCTCCAAAAAATGGGCTTTTGCAAAGACATCACAAGGAAAGAAAATGACAGATCAATGTCTCTTGTAAATAAGGATTAAAAAAAAATACTAGCAGACCAAATCTTGCAATACATAACAGGAGTATACACCATGACCAGATGGGATTTTGTCCCAAGAATACCAAGTTCATTTAGTATCTGAAAATCAATTTATGTAATGCACCTTATTAACAAAATAAAGGAAAGAAACCACATGATCATTTCAAAAGACAAAGAAAAGGAATTTGAAAAAATTTAGCACCCCTTCATGATTTAAAAAACAGACCACTTGACAAATTAGGACTAGGAGGGAACTGCCTCACCTGATAAAGGGCATCTGTGAAAAACCCATGGCTAACATTCTTAACTAGGGGCCCAGTGCATGAATTCGTGCACCTTGAAAGGAACTGTGGGCGTGGGGGCAGGTCTCGGCCCATCCTCTGCACCCCCACCCACCCACTCCCACCGCGCCCCTGGTCACCTGTCCATGGGCAGCCCTGCTCCTGCCACTGCCACTCCCACATGCTGACAGCACTGGGCCCCGCTCCCACCCATCAAAAGGCGCGAATTGGGGGTCAGCTCCAGTAGTGGTTGCCAGCCATCAATTAGTTAGCACCTGTTCCGACCCTTCAAGGAG